TGGGACGTCTGTGGCACTGTGTGCGAGCTCGATGTAGCTTAGTCACGAAGTACTATTTGGCTTCGATGGCCCTATAATAACCATTAATTAATTGTGAGGTCCCTACATTCTTGACTAAATATCGTTCTCAACGCGATTGAAATGTATATTTATTTATTTATATCAAATGACAGACGTCTTGATGTTTATCATTACCCCTTAATAGACTTCGGGCTTCACAGAGGGAAAGGAACATTAAATTGAAAAATTCGAGAGGGGGAGCAGAAGTATGATTCAGTGATGTAAAAGAGACAGACACAAAGGTAGAAAAAAGGTGAGGTGAGTGTTGTGAAAATATTCAAATATGACATACAGTTGGGTGATGGTAGTTTGAAGTCAGAAGTCAATTATCGGTTTATAGACTTTTTTGTCGTATGAGTATACGTTGCCCAGGGTGCACCACGTGGAGGTAAGTCTATCGCGCACCCCGCGATTGAAATGCCAAAACTCATTTTCATATTCGTAATAACCATTCAAGTATACTTAAGTCATTTAAAGAAAATTTTCCTCTTCAATATTTTTTAAGAAGTATATGTTTAAAATTCGTTCTTCCTCCGTCTTCGGTGATAACATCACTTAAAAGAAAACGATTTCCGAAATCTTATTTTTCAATGTCATAAATAAACGCATTCTAAACATCCCAACATCGTCTTCTAATAATAATGAAACAACAATTAACGGGTTAGGGATTAATAAAATATTTAATTTTCACGTTGATACATAAATAAATCAAGCTGGAAATCACTCATACAAGTTAACACCAGCTGATAAATTTAGGTATGATTCCAGTTTCAGAGATAAAATGAGTATTGTGAAAGCTTTCTCTAATTGACCTTGAGAAATAAAATTTTGTGCTGCATTACTGCAATATCTGCATAGTTAATTTAGTAGAGTCGTTACAAGTTCCCCATGTGCGTTCATTGATTTCAAATGCTCGATTTATGCAAATGAGTAATTTTTCATGAAACGTTATTTCTTGTTCAAATATAAATTATCATTCAAATGAACGGTTTTGAAACAAAAATGTTTATAACTAGTACACTAATTTAACTATAACATATTATTTACGATTTACAGGCATAAAATGTTTCATATTTCATTGAGTAAGTGCTTATTAACGTCTCAATTAGGGGTGTGCGATAGACTTACCTCCACGTGGTGCACCCTGGGCAACGTATTCTCATACGGCAAAAAATTCTATTAACTGGCAGTTGACTTCGGACTTCAAATTACCATCACTCCACTGTATGTCATATTCGACTACTTTCACAGTACTCACCTCACCTTTTTTCTACCTTCGTCTTTGAAACACTCTTCTGTTTCCTCTCAACCCCCCCCCCTCTACTTTCTTTCACTTTGATGTTCCTTCCCCTCTGTGAAGCCCGAAGTCAACTAAAGGACTAATGATAACTATCAAAATGCCTGCCATTTGATATAAATAAATAAATATCTCAATTACATTTTAAAGTAATTAAAGTAATTCCATGTATTTTCTCAAACTAAACTGTTATGCGTAAAAAAAATGTTTAAAGTTTTTGACGTAATCGAGTAATTCACAGATTTTTATTCAAATTTAATAATAATACAAAATTTATGGATCATAAAATTCGTAAAATATGTCAATTTAGTAATCAAATTTTCAGTCAAAGACCATCGAAATATGATTACATCGTGTTGATAGCGTTGTATCAACCGTTTACCATTATTCTGGAGTATACAAGGTGACCCCAACAAAAACGCATACAAATTAAAACCAATTGTAAATGTGGCGTTCAATTAGAGTTTTATTATTTGAAAAGCATGAAAATATTCAACAAGCATATTTTTATTGTTTTTCACTGCTTGTTCTCAAACTTGATACTTGTAAATATATTTTACAAATTTAAATCAATTAAGCAATAATAGACACTATGTTTGAAATTATTTTAAGAGTGTGTACCTTTTTTGGGACACCCTGTATACGTTTGCAATTCATAATACCTAGAATAAATCTGTTTGATTTTCATGCAAGTGTATGTTCACTCCAATAACAGTGAAAGCACAGAGGAAACCACTAATTGTAATAAAAATAAATAAATATATAACCTTTCAAAAATAGAGATTGTTCAATTGTAATCGACTTGATTTGCAGCTGACCTTCAATAAAAAGGTCTGAAAACTGCTGTTTTTAGAATCCCTAGCCATTGAACGGAAAGGAAAGTTTCGGTTAGAATTATTAATAGAGAACGGTCAGATGACACTTTAATTTTAACGTTAAAATAATTTGAGCTATTTTCGTGACCAAATGTTCTTGCCTAGCATATTTAAGTGAGGCCTTTTTATCAAAGTTAATCCCTCTTAAAAGAACAGCATTTCCTGTGAGGCAGGAAGTCAAATTGACAAAAAATTGTTAGTTTCATAGTAAATTTAAACATATTAAATAGAAAGAAATTCCGTATGATTCAAAATTTTAGGAAAAATAAGTCATTTCTTAACCATAATGCTGCCTAAAATTACACCATTTAGTCTAATAAATCGGGCTTATAGGTTTCACTTAAATGTGCAAAAAATGTTAAGGTTCATCTTTGAAGGGATAGGTCAAAAAGTTTGCCTTGAATTCTCATCAAACCAGCAAAAAATTGAATAAAGCTTTGATTTTAGATCACACATAAGCACCATCGTTTAATAATTTATTGGGTGAAATGTGAAATTTTTATATCAAAAAGTCAGACCCAATCAAGGAAACTTAGAACTTAATTGATTTTCGATAGATTTCTGTGCTGCCATTTTAAAATTATCTTCCTATCTTCTGTTCACACATAAAATTGCACATTCTTTTGATGTGTTCCGTTAATAAATTTTAAAAAAATTAAAAATTCCTTTAGCTTAATTTTATTTTGTCGAAGTACTCATATTATGAAATATACAACTGATATTTTAATAAGATTTTCTCGTGTGCTCATCACTTCTCCGAGGTGAACTTCTGTACGTTAATCACTTCTAAATCGCTTTAAAAGACAGTTTACGTTGATATAATTTATTTACACTAAATAAAATTTCTTACATCTTTCTGAAAGAAATAAGAATAGAAAAAAACACATTTTAGAATTTCACTTATGGAGCAAATATCTGCTAAAACGCACCTGCGTTTGTATGAAGTTTTTAATTCATGAAGAGGGTAGTGAAATTGCCGTTGATTTCTATCAATACCCCTTAATTATTTCCAAATGTTAAAGCTTTCTAAAAATATCTTTTAATAACCTAAATGACAATGGAGAGGCCTAATAATTTTGAACTAGTCATTTTATGTCTGTGAATTATCATCTCCTTTCACTTACAAAACATTCTTAACAACCGTCTTGTGCAAGTTCGAACATATCGAAATAAATCCGTATTTAGAATAAACTTGTTATATTAATAATACTTCATATGCTATTTTGCTTAATTCATATTTTAATGACATTTCCATTAATACATAAGGGAAAATGTCACTATGTAGGCTTTCATGAAGTTAAATAGACGTAGCTTAAACTATCAACCATAATTTAATTTAATTATGTAAAAAAATAAAAAAAACTATTTGTGTTTCTTGACATTTATAATTGTTGTCTACTAGTGGAATCGCTTCAAATCTGTTGCAACACACGTTAAGTATTAAATATTCGATCTTTTAAGAACAAATTATTCCAGTTAACGCTACCCGATGCTATTATTAATCGATAAAAAAATAATCAATACATATCGATATCAAGCCTTTTCCATATAAATCTTGCTATGAACAGTAAGAAACAATTTTAAAACTTGAATTACGTATTAATTTAAGGACAGAAAACACAAATATAAAAAATTTGTAATTTTTCTTACATTTGAACTTAAAAATTACTCGCGTGCATCTTTTGCTCTCCTTTCAATTTTGCATAAACGATCTTGAAAATTGCAAAGATGGGCTGGAAAATGTAAATCATTCTTGTTGAGACATTTAATATTGCCAATATAAAGGCCAGTAACATCAATAATCATCTATTGAGTTGATATTGAGACACATACAAGGTTGTTATGAACACTGAAACAAGTTCCAAAAGATTGCAAAGGAGAGTTGGACATAGCTTTGGAATGTCATTGACATTTATGATCATGCCTTCTGACCATACCCACATAGAAAACAAGTTAGCTTTATCTAATTTATATTTTAGTGACAATGTTATTTCGTCCTACCATCAGAATCCCTAGATTTATAAAGAAGATAAAAAAATGACTTTAGCGCTAGCTATAATTCGCGAGGTTATAAAAAATGATGACATGATGATGACATTTCTGGGAATTGATTGGAGCTACAGTGAGAAGTTAAGATTTGATTTTTTGGTTTGTAGATAATCGAGTCTGAGTGCGGAGATACCAGAGTTCAAACGGCCATTGCGATCTTAATCTGATTATACAGAAAAGGGATGAATGAGGTCAATGAGTTAATGAAATATTGACGAATTTTTCGGGGGAATTTGAAAGAAATGTGTTCTCTTTGTTAGTCACGCAAATATACAAGCTGAAAGTGAAATAAAATTATAGCAAAATCTTAACCGAATACTCATTTTCTCACAGCTTTAAAGACTAAAAACTACTTTTAATCCATTGACAAAAATACGTTGGACGCCAAAGTTAACGAATAATGAGTGACACTTTCCCTTACTTAATTCCATAATTGGGAATAATTACCACCTTTTAGGGGCTAAAAGAAGTATAGGATCCGAGATATCCTATGATATTTACTCGGTATTAATATTTTATTCGAAAATTATTTTCTTACCTACGAGACTTAAATGATTATCTTCCACATTTCCAAACACACTTAAGATAAGCGATTTCATTGGCCGATCACTAACCAATGGGCAAATCGCGGAGGATGTCATGGTCAATACTATTCTTTAGTTACTCATTCAGTGTTTATCAGCCCGAGGCAAGTCATCACAGATCCTGCAACCACAAGTATGGCCACTAGTATAGTGGCAAATGAATTAGTTGCTGTCGCTGCCACCCCGTCAACAGTAATCCAGAAGTCAAACGTCAGTTGTGTCTACGAAAATGACGTCTCACTTCAACTTGCTCGAGTTATCTGCACACAGATTCTTATGCCCATTGTTTGCATTGTCGGTGTTACTGGGAATATTTTGAATATTGTCGTTCTTAAAACTGTCACAATGCGTTCCTCGACATCGTGTTATCTATGTGCAGTTGCGATCTCGGATCTACTCTACAGTATCAATGGCCTCCCATTAACACTACGAACATATCCAGCTATTGAGAAGTCGGCAATTTATATGAAAGCGCTAACCTACCTCCTGGCGTTTGGCAATATGTGGAGTAACATCACGGCTTGGTTGACCTGTGCTTTTACGATCGAACGATTTATAGCAATATCCACTCCTATCCGATCGCGAAAAAGTTTATCCAGCAGAAGAACACAGTGGAATATATTTTTTGTTAGTTTACTTGTTGTACTCATTACCCTTCCAGATTTCTTCCAAAGAAAAATAAAATTGGCCCAAAGAGCCTGCATGGAAAGCAATCAATCTGCAATCGATTACTCTCAAAATGTGGATCCTTGCATTGGGACTTTCTATGTTCTAGAGCCAACTTGGATTGGCATTCAGCTGGATGGATTTGGATGGTCCTACGTCAACGTTGCTCTATTTGTCTTCTTTCCTCTAATTATACTCGCTATTTTTAATGCTCTTCTTATTAAATCTGTTATTAAAGCCCACCGCAGAAGAAATGAAATGCTTTCTGCCGCAGTAAGATTTAAGGGCGATAGAAGACAAAGGACAGATTCACCGTCTACACATCCGCATTCAACAAGAAAGGAACTTGCATGGAGGAAATGGTGGATTACACGACAATATTATCACCAGAACTCAATGAGAAGATCTCCACTTTCTACACATCCTCCACCTGATGTAACATCAGAAGAAAATACGGTTAATACCCAAACATCGGTAGGATCAGCCGCAACGACTGAAGACTTACCAGTCAACACCTTTCATAATGAGCCTTCGGAAACGACGCATTGCTTTCGATTTCGAAGATGCGACGCTGCACATAAACGTGATTTGCCAAACATCTGCCGCTCCTCACATCAAGACAAACAATCAATTACAATTACGCTAATAGCAGTTGTCGTCGTATTTTGTATACTGAACTTTCCAAGTGCAGTTATACACTTGATTAGACTGTGGTTTGAAAATTCCGACCCACGATTAAAAGCCTTTGGAAATGTTTCCAATCTTCTTCTTATGCTGAATGCTTCCTTGAACTTTTTCCTCTACTCCTTGTTTAGTGCACGCTTCCGAAGGTCCTTCAGAATTTTGTTGAGGAAGAATCATTGTTGATTTCTTGGTTATGGAGAAACACTCAAAATGGATTCCTCAAAGCAAAGGTCTTTCACTGTATGTAGATCATTCCCCTATAAAACAAACGCTCTAGTTGTATAGAAGACAAAAAACGAGATTTAACGGGTAGTATTGATTTTTTGGTTTTTGAGCTGTAAATTTTGGAATAAAAACTTAGTTTAATGTATTTTTTTGCACTTATGACAATATCTGTTAGGAGATATGTTGTTCTTTGCTTATTATATAGATCAACAAAGAAATTAATTTAAAAATACCTGTAAAATTTAATTTTAAAGAAAAAGCTTGAAATTCTTGTTCTTGAAGTTCTAATTTTAATCATTCATTTATCTTTTAAAGGATTACGACATCGGGTAATGGGTCTGCAAAATGGCTCCATCGATAAGTTTTATTCTTTTTACATTTAAAATATGTCAAAATGAATTGTCAAAAAATAGTCAAAAATTACATTTGAAGTATTTTAATGATATCCATGACAAAAAATAAAAGCTATTTACATTTGCCTAATTGATAGCAATTTGTGTTCCGAGTTTGGTTGAATCTGCTTCTAATCTGGATATCATTAGCAAGCTAGACCATGTAAATTTAAATATAATATTTTTTTTCTAAAATGAACTAAAATTTATGTTTTTAATAATTTATTTATATCAAATGACAGGCATCTTGATGGTTATCATTAGCCCTTTAGTTGACTTCAGGCTTCACAGAGGGAAAGGTACGTCAAATTGAAAAAAGTCGAGAGGGGGGGGGTGAACAGAGGAGTGTTTCAAAGATGTAAAAGAGGCAAACACAAAGGTAGAAAAAAGGTGAGGTGAGTACTGTGGATATAGTCGAATATGGCATAGAGTGAGATGATGGTAGTTGGAAGTGAGAAGTCAACTGCCAGTTAATAGACTTTTTTGCCGTACGAATGTACGTTGCCCAGGGTGCACCACGTGGAGGTTAGTCTATCACACACCCCTGTTTTAAATAATTGTTAAATTGAATATTGAAATATCTGATATGTTCAAGAACTGTCCCAGTTGAGAACGTTAGAGTGTTCAGTGAGAAATCTAATTTAGATTTCAACCCCATTGCCAAATGTCGAATTCCTCAAGTCAGTGACGAGTGACATTTAACATCAGAATGTTTGTTTATTCCTAATGAAGATTTAAACAAGGCGGTAGATGTGATTTACCGGCACCGAAATGGTGCAATCTTAATAAAATACCTGTGTAATAATGAATTCGTGTTTTCTTAATAGATTTAAAGTGTAAATTTGTGTAAATTCTGTTTTAAATATTATTGCACTAATAAAATACTATTTAAAATGAAATAAACTGCGCTATACAATTAAAATGACAAATTGTTGTTTTGTATCTAAACTTGCCATGTATTGGAGAATTTTCGGTGGATTTCAATGACTTTATTAAGTAGATACTATAATTTTGAATTTTGTCCGTCATTGCAATTTAATGCGTCTTAGGGTGTCAACTTTGAATTATCTCAAAAATACACAAAATTGTCTGTTTAAATCAAATATTTTAAATTTTTTTAATACGTGCGTTATTATTTCAACACCAGATTTGTAATAGACATAATTCAAAGTAAATCGCAATTTCCTAGTAAATTAAAATTGTCCCCTGAATTAATCATTATTTTAAATTCTCGGATTTTTCTTGGGTTACTAACTTTATTTATTTGTTTTTCTCTGGAAATTAAATCTAAATACAAAATGTTTATGTAGTTAGGAAATAACAATGAATTCTATAAGTTAACGTATGATTAGTGCTTTGGTTTGTCCACGTATGATGGTAAATAGATCCCCAAGCGAAATATTTTCCCCAGGGACAAATTGTTCTTGCTCCGAACTAATATTGTTTTGCAATTACTCAAAAAACTTGATTTGAGGAATCTGTTGAATGACTAATTGGATGGCAATGGCAAATTTGATAACTTTGCTTTCCAATAAATACAACCCGCAAAGAACTGTCAGAAGAGTAACATGAAGCAGTTGGTCAAGTCTGCTGTTTATTGCAGTTAGAGGTTTTTATAACAGCATAATTATAAATCCCATACCTCATCGATTGTTTGAGCAAGTGCTCATAGCACCATAGAGGTGTCTATCACAAAAGGCTTAAATTTAGCCTCTGCATAAGGTAAATCGAAGCCAGAATATACAATGTCAGCCGAAATTTTTATCATCATCGTTGTTCTCACCGACATGATGACGAACAGAGGGGTTGAGGAGAGTGGCAAAACTTTAAATTGTACTGTCAATTTAGAAAAAAAGCAAATATAATTTTTATATCCGTTTGTGGAACCCCATTAAAGCATGAATTTTTAAATCTCAAATTTTTCAGAAAATTTGCAGAGAATGGAATAAATGTGAGTTCTGCCGCTTAATGAAAGAAAATAATTATTGTGTACTAATATATTTAAAAGATATTTTAATGCATTTCTTTCGTCATTGTATGAATATTTTGACTAAATTTGATTTGTAAGAAAAATAAGTTTCCTATATATAAAAATATTAATTTTATTATTTATTTGTTTGTTTCAAATAGCAGACGTTTTGACAGTTATTATTAACCCTTGAGCTAACTTATAACTTCACAGAGGAAAGGAGCATCAAAGTGAGGAAAATTCGAGAGGGTTGAAAGAAGAGCAATTCACAGATGTAAAAGAGACAGAAAAACACAATGGCAGAGAAAAGGCAAGATGAGTACTGTTAAAGTGGCCGAATTTGACATACAGTGAGGTCATGGTAGTTTGAAGTCAGAAGTCAACTGCCGAATATCAATCTTATTGCCGTGTGAATATACTTTGCCCAATGCGCACCACGTGGAGGTAAGTCTATCGCGCTCCCCATATATAAAAATATATATAAGTTTAAAAAACTATTTCAGGCAAATTGCACATGGGGGCATGAGATTTATGAAATAGAAAAATCACAATTTCAAAATCGCAATAGACTAGAAAGCTTTAAATAGTCCAAAATGCACTGTTGGTGGCAACTTACATTTTTGCGTGCAAAACGACATTTCTCTGTTCACTTTATATTTTCTTTGTGGCGATTCCTTTCGCAATGCAA